TTGCATAAAGGATTGCCGAATGCAATTTTATAACTTCGCTCTCTCTTATCCTGACCAGTATCGAAAGGATAAAAAAAATTGTGAAATTAATTATTAGTTCGATTTCGTTATTAAAGCTTGTGTTTTGGTTCTTATAATTTCTAATAAAACAAAAACAAATACTATATCAGTTTGGAGATAGATGCAATTTAATCTATTTATTTTTATTATTTATTTATTTATTTATGTACACACAGAAAGCAAGACATAGAACAGAGTAATAGGAAAATTATGTACAAAGGCACTGCTTATTTCTTTAAGAAATCTCTTCCAGCAGACCTGCGAGAGGATAATGAGAATAATAATAAAAAGTGATGAGTGTGTGTAGAACAAATAACACATAACTAAAATAACAAATACAACATGAGAATTATAGTAATGCACATACACATAGCAAATATTATAAGTAACACAGTAATANTTTGACTCATGCCAATGTCTAAAGTTGCCTGAATTTCGCGGTATGTCACATGTCGACCTTCCTCAATCAGCTTACGCACAGCATCAACGTTTTCTTGGGTGACTGCAGTTTTTGGACGACCTTGACGGGGATCATCACTGAGCTTGACACGTCCACGTTGAAACTCAGCAAACCAGCGATAAATTGTGGTTTTGGATGGGACTTCATCACCAAATGCAGAAATCATCCGGTCAACACACTGTTTTTGTGTTTATTATGACTTTCGAAGGAAAGTCATAATAAATCATCGCTCTTGAATTTTCTCGAGTCAATTCCATTTTCTCAACGACTAAACAAGTTTGACAAAACCTCGTGACAAGACCGAGAATCTTTTTTTAAATAAATAAATGGTATTCGATTTTTAAAACCAAGGAGTTTTCAATTAAAAATATTTTAATATGACAGGAACAGTGGAAATATTCCATTCCCGATATTTTTAGTGCAGCCTAGTACCAGCGCACAGCTTTCTATATACTTTACTTCTTCTTCTCCATCGTTCCCTCAATGCTGAGGATCGCAACCACATGTGACTTTCCCCCACAGTGTTCGGTCATGGGTGGCATGGACCGCATTATATAGACCACCACCAACTGCTTTATTAACCAGATCTGACTATCTGGCCGGTGCTCTGTCCACCAGCACTACTTTACTATTTGGTCACAAACTATTCTATTAGTAGTTGACAAAAGTAGATTATCGTGTTCAGATTACTCCAGCCCCAAAACAGTCCGGTTTGAAGGGTGGAGCAGCTATTATACGATTTAATTGAGGGTTAAGCCTTATATTTTATGCTGTATAGCGACACTCGTGCTCGATATTTTATTGGTTTCTTATTGGCCACTTAACACCAGGTTGAACATGATTCCTTTGCCTGCCTAGTTAATGATTTTAGATTAAGTCCATGAATTAATCAAACATGCTTTAAACTAAATTGTGACGTATTATTTTGACAATAAAGATAACTATTATCTCTTATCATAGACTGATATAGTCTCTTATGACAACCCCCCTTCTCTATTCGGTAAATGAAAACGCGTATATCCCATCTTCCGTGGAGCACGTACAAAATATCACGTACGACGAAGCACATCGATGTGAACCTCGTTCTCAAAATAAAGGCATCGTGATCCCATCCTGGCATACATTCAAATAAAACAATGCATTACAATGCACTGTCTCTATGTTTGCACGTGTGTACTGAACGCGTGTTACACGAAACAGAAATAGGCAAGCGACCATTGACCCTGTTAGGCGTTCTCAATATAGTAATATATTTCTTAATTCAACACATTTTGGTATAGTAATCGGGTGACAGACGATCTATTTGTAATGAGAGCAAATAATGAAAAATATACGTAAGTTGTGGCTACGGTTGCCAGACGTCCCGTATTTCTTGGGACGTCCCGTATTTTAGGCTTAGTTTAAAACGTCCCGGCGGGACTGATTCTGTCCCGTATTCGAACCATACGATTAAATAATTGTATTGATTTTTATAAATATGTTCAAACTGACTCGCTCCTCAGAGAAATATCAAAAAAAGTAAAGAATTTCACTATATAATTTTGTTTTTTATTTGTCCCGGGTAAAAAGCTAGATTGCCGTATATTTTTTTGCTTATTTATGCATTTGCTCCTTATAGGCTGAACTAAAATCTGGCAACCCTATGGCACTAATGAGCTATATAAAAACTCTATTAACGACTAGCTGACCTTTCTGTCACTCATGTTCGTGAAAGCTCTAGTAAAAAGTTACAAAATATGTCGGTAGTTCAAGAACTAACAATGATTCTCGAAGACTATCGTGGCAACGTAACATTATTATAATATTAACTAAACGAGTATTTACTTCAAAGGCTGTCTAGCTTCTATTGAAATTTCAGAATGAAACAAACGATAAAGAACCTTTTATTTTTGGAATACGTTCCAAATATAATTATAGCGCATATGTTACATTTCGTTGATACGCATAAATCATTCAATGTACTTAAAATAAACAGAGCACCATGTGTTATCGTGCGCGCTCACTGTTATGACATTTATTTGACATGCCAATAAATATTAAGCTCAATCGATACTAGCAGATTTTTATCACTGCCCGTTTGAGTGCCGTGATATACCTGTGATAATAATAATAATATTCTTTTTTCAAATTTTATCTTTACATGTTTGTAAAACGACTTTGTTGTAGTTAGCAAGTAGATAAGTAACAGTAAGTTTTTACGGTTTTTAGGGCTGTGCTCGATTTAAACCGGGAAATTATTCTGAATTGGTTATTAATAAAAAAAAATGCAACTCCAAATAGGCTGGAGGTATGACATCTTGTGAGTCCGCACGGATAGGTACCACCACCCCGTCTATTTCTGCCGTGAAGCAGTAATGCGTTTGGGCTTGAAGGGTGGGGCAGCCGTCGTACAGCAAAAACGGAGACTTTAGAATTCATGTCTCAAAGTAGGCATTTCGCCTAATTTACTTTGTAGATGTCTATCTACGGTTTTCGGTAACCACTTAACGTCAGTTGGGCCGTGATCTCGTTTACTCACTTAAGCAATAAATAAAAAAGGCTTGAGTGATTTAGCTCTATTCTTTAGTACTAGGGCTCTAGTATTTTTAGAATTATTAATAAAAAAATCAGTACATTTTTAAATATTTCTCTCAATTTTAAATATTCCGCGATGATTGATTTAGATTACGTTAAGTTCAGAAATTAGTGAAACAAATAAATATATGTAGGTCGCTTTAAGTGATATAAATGGTGGCGATGGGAGGAGCGAAGATGTGTTTTATTTTATTTATTTAAGTTTCTTCGGGTTGTAACGAAATGAATAATAGTGGATTATTAAACGTTTAGCATCTGTGAAATTACGCAAGTATGAGAAAATGAAAACTGGACCTGAAAGGATGTTACTTCGTGGCCTTTTTTCATTTTATCTTTCATTTAACATAATATGTATTTATATACTAGCTGACCCGTCAGACTTCGTAGTGCCTCAATAGATAAAAAAAAGGAATCCGTCCGACGAGGGCCACATCAAAGGGAAAACAAAATTGTTATTTTTATTTAACTCCGAGCATTTTCTTAATTATCTACCTTTTAGCTTCTCTGGACTTCTACAAAATAATTCAAGACCAAAATTAGCCAAATCGATCCAGCAGCTCTCGAGTTTTAGCGAGACTAACGAACAGCAATTCATTTTTATATATAAAGATTAATAGAATATTTTCATATATGAACAGAATATTTGTGTCTATACAACAGCAAAAATTGAACTGAAAGAAGCTATAAAACTGCCACAAGCTATTAATGTCAAATTATTTTCGTTGACGTCGATAATAAGACATTCCTAATTTGAACTTAAAATTCACTGTCGCTGGCGACACAACCTCAGCATACTTTAATTAAGTTTGTAAAAATAAAGCGTGAAATATCTTAGATTAATCTCATGTTATTTTAATTACTTTAAAAACTAATTTTGAATTGTACTCGTAGGAGCAAATCGAGTGTCAAATTGAATTTACGACGTGTTAATTCCATGATCACGGGCCGTATTAGTAAATGGCGTAATTAATTTGATGATTTGTGGGAGCTATTACTCATAATATAATTTGTCATGAAACGTGGTATTCGAAATAATTTTATGTCTGATATTATTTTTATACCTTTAAACGAGAAATTCTTGTATAGATATATATAATCTGAATCTCAGAAACGGCTCCAACGATTTTCATAATATTTAGTATACATGGAATTTCGGGGGCGATAAATCGATCTAGTTACGATTTATTTTCAGAAAATGTTCTTTTATTCGTGTTTTCAATAATCAACTCTTCCCGACATCTATTGACGAATAATAATACTATTTTTCTTAATTGAGGGCAACTAACCAAGATGGCGTTATCAAAAAAAATCTCATCATCTAGTAGTAGTAAAATCGGTTCACCAGCAGCGGAAACAATACATAGGTGAACTGTTGTTTCTTTATAAATTTACGTTAAAACAATTTACGTTTAGAGTTCGGGAACGCTTTATTTATTTATGCCAAAATATAAAACTTCTTAAAATGATAAAATTAGTAAAACACACCTTAAATACGAACTGAATTAATTACAATTAAGTCATGCTTCAGTTATCAATCGAAAGTTTTACAACGATAAGTTCGTGAATAAATAAAAAGCAAATAACTAAAAATATATTAGTTTTTTTTTATTGCTTAAATGAGTGGACGAGCTCACAGCCCACCTGGTGTTAAGTGGTTAATGGAGCCCATAGACATCAACAACGTAAACGCGCCACCCACCTTGAGATATAAGTTCTAAGGTCTCAGTATAGATACAACGGCTGCCCCACCCTTCAAACCGAAACGCATTACTGCTTCACGGCAGAAATAGGCGGGGTGGTGGTACATACCCGCGCGAAGTCACAAGAGGTCCTACCACCAGTAAAAAGTAGTAAGTAGTTGTTGTAAAAACTTAAAATTCAATAAAGTACTCATTAGGAATCTTACCGTTTCCTGCATCTATGTGAACCCATTTTGAAGTACAGACGGCAGTTATCCATAAAAATGTGCACAGTCCTGAGAATACTGTGCAGCCAAAAAGGATTCGCCTCTCAATCACCAGCGCCTGCAGGAGAGGCCGTCTCTCAGCGCCTACTGATGAGGCCGTCGACATTTTATCCGTCTCCATCTTATCAATCACTGTAACAAAGAAAAGGTTTTCAGTAAGCATTGATAAAAAAAATTATGTTTTTTGACGTGCAAACTAATTTTGTTCAAGGATATTTTTTTTCCAATTCTTTTTGTTTCTCGTTTAGTCGCTGGTTCTAAGCCAAGTTTGTTCCAGCAAAACTATTTTTGCAGTAAACAAAATTTTCGAAATTCTTCATGAAAGTAATACGCAAATGAAAACATTTCCTATCACCTGCTATTTACAAACGCATCGCTCGCCACCGGAGCATAGTTCATACCTTATAACTGCAACCGCGTTAATCCATAGTGTGTTTACAGATCCTATTTTTATCATGTAAAATCCGGCTTAGACTTAAATTCGGTCTATGGTATTTTTCGACATTTTTTGAACATAGCTTAGAGTGTCTAGGCAGTGGGTTAGCTGTGGTCTCATCATTGATTTGTGATCTACCGTATTTTTAAAGACAGACATTCATCTGTTCAAACATATAGGTATCTTGCAAATATATGTTGTTCTAATCACTAAATGTGATTTCTGGAATAGCTTTAGAGACTTTAAGACTGTCGCCGTAAAGAGACCGACACCAGTGTTTTACTTTAGTGGCAGTCACTGGGATATTCTGGTTATATTTCAGCCGCAACTAAGATCCTAATTTTTTTAACTACTTCTCGTGGCAGTGGATCATTTCTTTCTGCTAATGCCCCACGTCACTAAAAGAGGTAACAGAGTGAACTACCTTTTCCCTACAGAAACCCACAACTGCCATGCCGGTATTATAAGTGGATTGAGCTCGTAAATTTTTGATGGAGATCCAATCAAACATCATCAAGATAACGACTAGGCTCTGTATCCTTAGCAAATAAGAAACAATTTGCTGCAGTTTCCTATTGTATTTAAAAAAAATCCCTAAAATTAAAGATATGGCCACCATAACATCTGATTTAATCAATTATGTAACTGAAAATACAAGCTATTTATTAATTCTTCAGAACTCAGCCTGCGTTAAATATGATTTTAATTCCATCATTTTACTTTCCCACTTGAATGGATCCTTGAGACCTTTGTGATTCATTAAGAGCTCTGCGAAAACTTTAAGAAGGCTTTTTTTTAAACTATCTCAAAACATGCTATTCAAACGTAATAGGTCTTTGAAATAATTGGTTGAATTGAAATGAAATTGAATTTTTACTGGTGGTAGGACCTCTTGTGAGTCCGCGCGAGTAGGTACCACCGCCCCCCCCCCGCCTATTTCTGCCGTGAAGCAGTAATGCGTTTCGATTTGAAGGGCGGGGCAGCCGTTGTAACTATACTGAGACCTTAGAACTTATGTCTCAAGGTGGGTGGTGGCTATGGGCTCCTGTAACTACTTAATACCGGGTGGGCTGTGAGCTCGTCCACCCATCTAAGCATGAAATAAATAAAAATGAATTACATTTGTTCATCTACCCTGTGATTGCAAATCTAGTTTTTGCGGGAGTTTCACAAAAGATTTCTAGTTAGAATTTTAATTTCAGATTATATCTCGTAAATACGTCCACGGCGTGTTTTATCTCGATCGCCTGACATTCGTCGCTAACTCAAGTGTGTCCTTACGCTGTCTTACACTGGAATACCCCTTAAGAGATGTTTGATAGCTTAAAGCTTAGTCTGATCAGCTTCATATTAATAATCATTTACAAAATATCTCAGTTTATATGCATTATAATTAACTATTATATTTACTAGTTTTATAAGTGTTGAGGTGTATTTTGAGTTCTTAAAGGCCGGTACTACTGTTCCGAAAGTTTATTTCGCGAAGCAGTAATTTTTGTGGGCGAATAGCGAAACAACATTTATACAATTATGAAGACTTCAATCTCCCGTCAAGTTCTGGGAGATCTTTGTGCTTGTCTGATGCGATGTTTGAAGGTTTCGGAGACTATTGAACAGCAAGCGAGCTTGTTACACAGCTAACGCATTAAATGCTAATATAATATGAATAAGTACAACCTCTGAAAATTTCATGCTTTTTTTTTAACAATACAAGAGTCACAATATTTTGTGCCGCATTTTAGTTTAACTGAATGGCTACTCATCTTAATGAAATTAGGTTTTACGATAGTAAAATCTCTAATTTATAAAAATATTAAATTTAAATTAATCACATTTAAATAGCTATTTAATCTGAAACACGACTAAAATACAGTTTACGGCTAACAGATGTCAACCAAAGATTAAAGTCATAACTAGATAATAACACGAAACTAATAATCTTATATATATTAATACGTGAAGCAAAAACTTTGTATCCCTTTTTACGAAAATTGCGAGGACGGAGGAGTATGAAATTTTCCACACTTATAGAGAATATAGAAAAGAAGTGCACAATGCTAATATTTTTTAAAATAATGCATAAAAGATACATTAAATCAGCAAAGAAAACATTACACACACTACATACCATGTATTTGACGCACACACGCATGCATACTATTTATTGTCAAGCTTTTGCTCTTGACGTCTGTTGTGAAATTGAGAATAGATTAAATATTGTTTGTCTTTGTTAATATTTTTTATAGTGTAGTCTTGGCGAAATTTGTGATTATAGAAGTAAATCATAATAGTGTGCAAACTTACAATTCCAATTTATTATAGTCGAATTTCGACTACTGCGGGACCTCTAGTTATGTTTAAGTATATAAACGTCAACGGCAATAGTATTCACCGATCTCACATTATTGTAAAATTATTTATTAAACCGAAATTTTTTTTTTTCACAAAGCAATTTCGTCAAAGAGTAACATCGAAAGTCATAAATCTGAATATACCGCGGAAAGAGCGCTGTGATCATTATTTATTGTCGCAGTAGACGTATTTTGAAGCTTTAAAAATATGTACGTAATATCGTCTTTATTTAGCTGTCCAATGTCATGGTCATTGTATGAGTCAATGAAATTATGAGGATTAAAAAAATATTATTTATTAAAAATGTCGGTGATAATGAAACATTAAGATACCATGGTCCTTTTTTTGTTCATAACTACCGTCCCGCCCTCGCTTCGCTTCGGAAACTGTAATTTATTGTTGATTTCTCCACTATTTAATGGATGTTATTATACATTAAACCTTCCTCTTCAATTACTCTATCTATTAAAAAAAACCGCATCAAAATCCGTTGCGTAGTTTTAAAGATTTAAGCATACATAGGGATATAGGGACAGAGAAAGCGACTTTGTTTTATACTATTTAAGATGTGCCAATAAATACGTTCAAGGCTTGCATAGAATGGTCATAGTATAGTTGAACCTTAAAACAAATTTCTTCATCGAACTTTGAGACACAAAATGTATGATATCTGCAATGATAGCATCAAACAATTACTCTGAGTATTCCGAACACATGAATCCTTCGGAATGTGCATGTGTGTAGTATTTTTATAGGTAGCTGTAGGTGAATGCCCATTACTCTTATTGAGTACTCCGAATACATGAATCCTCTGGAATGTGCGTGTGTGGAGTATTTTTATAGCTGTAGGTGAATACCCACCTGGCAGTAAATTCTTGACAAAACCTTAAGATCTTATAAATTGAGACTCCTACAGACACAAGATTGAAGCCTTATCCACTAACTGCTTCAGGATGGAAATATGCAGCATAGGACTCAGGTGTACAGGATCAGAAATATCTCTTTAGCAGCAATTATGTAAATTAAAAAAATACGAGTTTGATTACACGACATTAATTAATGGTCCTTCATAAACACGTTTACATAACTTCTTATGAATAGTCAGTTCACTTGGAACGTATATAAGTACCTATATAACGGGAGAATATTTTATCCAGATTACCAGATCACTAGAGTATGAAGAGCGAAGAACGAAACAGAAGAAAGAAGAAATAAAAACGAAGAAGAAAGATACAGTCGAACTGCCCCTGTGGGCCGCAGCGATACCTACATTCCCGCCTAGCAACGGTTGCATCTATGTAAACATTTTGTATAAAAATTATCATAATTTCCTTTTTAAAAAAACATGGGGAGATTCTCTATGGGCAGAGGGGTTTCCCTGGGGACTGTTCCTTCCCCCTTGAGCGACGACCCCATAGCTTTTAACCATTGAGCGGATATTAAGATAACACCTAACGAAGCTTTCATGTATTCTTTTTAACTTCGGTAGATAATTGCAGCAATAAAGATATACAATTTTATATATTTTCCGAGCATCTGTCTTCATTCGTTGAATTAAAGCTAAAATTATTACGGGATACTTTTGCGATACGGACTGTATAATCAACTCCGTAAATCACAAAGTCTGACGTTTTTCGTTCTCATCCCTCGGTCTCATTTAAACACATGAAAAGAGTTTCTCATTTTATATTTCAGGATAGAATTGTTTGAGTCTTCTCCGTAAAGTTTCTCACTGCAAAATGCATCTAATTGAAAAACTTACTTTATTAAAATTAGGAGCTTAAAATTTTAAGCTGATATTTTTGATGAAGAAGAAGTTTATGTCTGTTAACATGATTTTGTTATTCAAGATTTCCTAATGCATGCGTATGCTACATACATATATCAACTAACAACTACAAATTTAGAACTTAATAGTTGAAATCTTATGTTCTGAATTCGATTTAAAAAAAAATCAACAATTTCTACTAAGAGACGAAGTCGTTTCCTTCAGGCATGTAAAGTCGGGAAAGATTCATCTCTAATTACGTCACGTCGTTTACGAGCTCATGCTAATGGGATGTCCATCGTCGTGTTTAATATCATCTCTGAACTAAAATCCCATTTAATTGCTTTACGGAATGTTTCTACGCTTTATTCAGGCGTTCTACTTATTTCATTGTTCAATGCTTTCTACCATCTACTTTATAGTTTGCCACTTTTTGCTATAAAAATGCTGGGCCGCAAAATCGTAATTGTAAATCGCATCACATTAGATGGTGAATTGGATCTACATTTGAGGTAGTACCCATTTCAACATTTTATTATTATTACTATAACGAATTAGCGGTTTCATACCCTAAAC